AAAGGGTTCTTTGGCACCCAGCACGAGGGAGTTGCTGTGCTGGGTGCAGAACTGCAGGCCTGGAGCCAGCACAGGTGCGGTTGCTCCCTGCCCGGGCACACCTGCCCGTCCTCGGGGCACCTCTGGTAGCTCAGACACCTCCTGGGGGGTGACAAACCCATAGAGAGCAACCCCCCTGTACAGCACCCGCGGGCAGCCCCTGCACGTACCGTCCCCGGCGTCCAGACGGTGCAGGTGGGTCGTGTGCTCGGGCTCCAGCTCGGGGGTGTGCGGGGGGAAGGCGCTGGCGTCCGGCAGCCGCGCGGTGCTGGTGGCCGCGTCCAGGGGGCCGGCTCCGGAGGGCAACTCGGGGGGCTCGTTCCTCCGGTGACAGCGGCAGCTCAGGTCAGCCAGGTGGGCTCCAGCTGCCAAGTGCCCAGGCTGGATAAAGAGCAACGGGAGGGCAGAGCCTGCCAAGAGGGCAGCGCCTCTGCAGGGCACCAACACCCAGAGCAGCCACAGGCAGTGGCCCTGCCCAAGAGGAGATCTGGCTGCCACAAGCTTTGGTGACGACCTGGTGTGCACACAGGGGACAGCAGGAAGTTCCTCATAAGCCTGCAACCTCAGCTCCTGCACAAATGGGCCTTGTGTGAACAGCTGCTGTTGCTTTGCTTGTGGATGCTGCTGGGGCTGGACTGGGAAGGGCTGTCATGTTCCTGCCACAGGCACTGGCCAAAGATGCAGCACCTCAGAGCCCTTCTGTCCTGCACCAGTGTAGGACACTGGAGGCACCGGCATTGCACAGGACATGGCTGCCCCACATGGGAGCCCTAGAAGGTCCCTTTGTCCCACAGTGAGAGGTGACAGCAGGGCCAGGCCATGTTTGATGTTACCATTCACCTCCTGTTATTTCTTCCCACCGTGGGGTCAGCACCAAGGCTGAGCCCCCCCTGTCTGCGTGTGGCTAAGCCCAGAGCTGCCCATCAATGCCCAGCTTGTTCAGCTGGGCCCCGGCAGGAGCAGGAGACATTCCACAGCTCCCTGCTGAAACCGCAGGGAATGTTGCACTGGGATGGGGGAAAAAAGGATGGGGGGCCACAGAAAACCCAACAGCATCCAGTGCCAGGGCCCAGGGCTGGGAAAGAGGAGGGCTGGAGCAAACAGCTTGCACTCCCTGGGACCAAGGTATCCCCCAGGCACTCTGGCTCTGGCACCATCTCTCTTGGTGTGCCAGGGATACTTGGAGATTGCCCCAGCACCAGCCCAGCTCTCCTCAACCCTGCAAGAGAGGCACCAGCCCCAGCTTGAAGTACACCTGGACCCTGGAGCCCTCTCTGCCTCCCATGGGCAGCCAGCTCTTTGCAGGAGAGGAGCTGAGGAACCAGCACCAACAGGCTCCACCAGACCTCCCTAGGAGCTCTGCATCAGAACAGGAGGGCCAGCCCCAAAATGCTCCCTGTCCAGCCCCCTGCTAGGACCTACTGCAGGGCTCACATCAAGGGGTGGCTCCCCCCACCCTCAGAGCTGTTCAGGGCCACCTGCAGACTCAGGAACAGAACAGGTTCTAGACTAGCAGTGGAAGGCCCTTCCTACAGCCATGGACGCTACAGGATGTTCAGTGAGGCAGCTGCCAGGTGTAATTCCAAGGCAAACAAGCTCCCAGCCCAAGCTCAGCCTTTGCCACCAGCACCTGCTGACCCACCCCTGGACATGCTGGGAGCAGCAGCCAACACCCTGTCCTCACGTGCTTGGTACCTCTGTGGCCACTGCATCCAAGGTAGCACCTGAGGAGCCCATGTGAACAGGCTGGAGGTTTGTGCTCCACCAGGGCTCCCCCAGAAACACCTGAGCCCTCTGCAGGGCCCTTCTCAACCGATCCTGCAAAACCAACCAGCAGAGCTGGAGAGACACACCACGTCCAGAGGCTCGTCCAGTCAGTGCCATTTCCAGTAGACCTCTCTTGTATAAACCCTGTGCTTTAGCTGCCAGAGGACAAGAAATACAGAATTCAGTGGATAAATGTAGTTAAAACAACAGGGAAAGA